TTGAGCCTAGCCTAAGTTGGCGTTGTTTTTGGATGTTAAGAGAATTAGGTAACCCATGCTCTACAAAATCTATTTTGCTTACCTATGTGATGATTTCTTGGATTCTACATGTGTTTTGCTATGAAATGTGAGTGTTTATGCATTGTCTTGTGAAAATGCATATCTAGAGCTTGTGTTTAGGGTTCTTGTATGCCATTGCTTGGCTATTCCTTTGATCCAAGTCATTTTGTTGTATTTGGTGAGATTTGGCATGTTTTGGACTTGAATTTGAGCTTGGTGTTGAAAATCCCCGAAGGGATTATTTTGGGCACAGGTACGTACCCGCGGGCGGAACGGCGGGCAGTGGCCTACCCGCCGCCCACCCGCGGGGAACATAAGGCCGGTGGGTGTGTACCCGCGGGTGGAACAACGGGTAGGGGCCTACCCGTGGGTCCACCCGCGGGGAACATGATGTGGTTGCTTGGGGATTTGTTCCCTGTGATTCTTTGGACTCGGTATTTGGTCTTTCGGCTTCCCGATATTCTTTTGTGGAACTATTTGAGCGTCTTCTTGATGTTTCGTATGTCTAGAACTATATGGTAGGATCCATGTAGGGTTTGGTGTCTTGAATCGTGCTAAATGTTCAACATTGTGATTCGTTGAACAGTATTGAGTCTTGTGTGTTCTTCGGAACTACGTTCGGTTTACCCGTTTGATAAGCATGCTAGTTCGGTGTTTAAATGCTAGCGTGTGTGTTGTTTGTACTTTCCTATTGTTGATGATAACTTGTGTTATTCATCGTGGTTGTTGGACTGTGATCCATTCCTTGATTGAGTATGGTTTCACATCTTCGTTGTGATCCGTTGATTGATTCCTGTTGAGGTGTGGTGTGTGTGGTTGTACCTGGATTGCACGATTAGTGGTATGGGACACTAGTCACCAAGGTACGACAGTGGTCCTCGTGGTGGCCATGACGTGATTATGGAGTTTGTGACTTTTGTGTAAGGTTCACGTATTTCTTGGGTGGCATGTGTTGCCGTGTGTGTGATCGGTACCCTCGTGTACTATGAAATCAGTGGTTCTGTTGGAGACCTGTCGGAGAGGGGACGACGGTCCTCGGAGGAAAAAGGTTGGACTTGGTGTATAGGGGTCCTGGAGGTAAAGGTTGGAACTAGACATAAGGTTGGGGGTAGCCATAAGGTTGGAACCGGGCATAAGGAAGGCATATCAATTCGTGATGGGTGATGTCACGAAGGCTTGTGTAGCTGTTGTTGTGAGTTCTGTTCTTGTGACGTGTGTTGTCACAAAGGCATGTGTTGCCATTGGTTGTATCCTTATTCTCTTGTGTTATGCATGTTGGGTGTTAATCTATTGTGTGATGATAGATTATACCTTGAGTCGTCCTTGTGAGTCATTGTTATTCTTCGTAATCTTGGGATGTGTTCCCTTATCTTGTTGTGAGTGCTTTGAGTCTTGTGTTGACCTTTGCTCTTGGTTTTGAACTTATATATATATATATATATATATATATATATATATATATATATATATATATATATATATATATATATATATATATATATATGTATGTATTCCGTTTCGCAAATGACTTTACCAATGTATATCTTATCTATGTATGATATTTCACATGTATTAGTGGGTTACCAGCATTATTCGCTGACCGGGCGTCGTCCCATCTTTTATGTGTTTCTTTCAAGTGATGTTTAGACGAGAGCGTAGTTTAGTGCTAGCTAGTGTAGCACCTTTCTTGTGTTTTGTGGCCTGTGAGCCAAGTATAGACTTAGTACTTTGAACATGTACGGTTTTAGATGTTGAACTATGCAGATGTTAGCCTGTGCGTTCACCTCTGGGTGAGCGTGGCATAGCACCCCTTTTACTTCCAGTTTATATAAACCTCTTTCTGTCTTCCGCTGTGTTTGATGTTCTGTTTAGATATCTGCATGTTTAAGGCTTAAAATAGACTGGAAATTAGAGGGTGTTACAACTGTGCAGTCTCCCCAACTTGTGCAAAATTACCCGTGAGCTGAATCTGTTCTTCGCCCCACACCTCCCGTTGTTTCCTCCCGCGGCATGGAACTACTTGCCACATGCCCGCCACAACCACCCGCAGCAAAAACTGCTTCGCCCAGCAGAAACGACCCACAGTCTTCACCGCCGCACACTACCGTCAACCCACCAGATGTGCCCCAACACGAGCCGCATAAGCCCACGGAACATCCTGCCAAGCGGCCTCCCGGCCAACCTCGAGGTAAAACCGTTAAATCCACAGTTCAGACTCACGAGATGAACACTCGTAGTCGCTCTCAGGCTCTTCCATCAGCTTTAACGGTTCAGGTGTGTCCTTCAAATCCTACTTGTTACGCACTCAGGCAATTAAATTTTCAGAATGGCATGAGGCTATGGATCAAGAATTTAATGCCCTTCTATAGAATCAGACATGGCAACTTGTGACATCTCAGCCAGGTATGAACATTATTGGGTGTAAGTGGGTTTTTCGTACGAAACGAAAATCAGATGGCTCCATTGAAAGGCACAAAGCAAGACTTGTGGTAAAAGGGTTTAATCAGGTACCCGACCAGGATTTCTTTGATACGTTCAGTCCAATGGTCAAACCAACCACAGTTAGGTTACTTCTCTCTGGCTTTATCATCAAGATGGTCTATTAAGCAACTGGATGTTCATAATGTCTTTTTAAATGGAAATCTATCTGAAACTGTGTATATGAAGCAACCACCTGGATATATTGATGTCTACTATCCAAATCGTGTCTGCTTATTGAAAAGGTCACTTTATGGATTAAAACAGGCTCGTAGAGCTTGTTTTAATCATTTGCACACCCTTCTATTATCTATTGGTTTTCAGGCATAAAAAACGGATGTGCCATATTTTACTACTCACAGGGATTTGATTGTGTATATCTGTTAGTTTATGTGGATGATATACTTATGATGGGAAGCAATACGGATCTAGTCACTCAGCTAGTTTCGAAATTTCAACTGCTTTTAAAATCAGAGATCTTGGTGAACCACATTTTTTTTCTTGGAATTGAGGCAGTTAAATGTAGTGATGGAATTTTTCTTTCACAACAGAGATACATGCATGACATTCTAAAATGTGCTGGAATGGCAGAGTGCAAACCTTTGTCTACCCCTATTTCTACTTCGAAAACCGTGGTCTTTGATACAACATTGTCCGATGATCCTACACAGTACAGGGGTTTGGCTGGTGCATTACAATACTTAACGGTCACTCGTCTTGATCTTTCCTTTTCAGTCAATCAGTTGTGTCAACACATGCATGCTCCTACAGTTTCACACTAGGAACAATTAAAAAGAGTTTTGAGGTATATATGTTAAAGGAACTGTCACTTTTGGTTTATGAGTCAGAAAGTCATCTTCAAGGGAAATTCATGCCTTCTCTGATTCTAATTGGGCTGGCTGTTCGGAGGACCGAAAATGTACAAGTGGCTTTGCTGTGTTTCTTGGCTCTAATCTTGTGTCATGGGTCTGCAAGAAACAAAGAACTGTGGCTAGATCTTCTACTGAGGCTAAATATAAAGCTCTAGCAGATGTTTGTGCTGAAGTAACTTGGATCGTTTCACTACTACGTGAGATCAAAGTTCCAGGTATCTCTGTCCCTAAACTATGGTGTGATAATCTTGGTGCTACTTATATGTGTGCAAATTCCATCTTTCATGCTCGTAGTAAGCACGTTGAGATAGATAGATCATCACTTTGTTCAAGATAAAGTTGTTGCTGGAGATATTCATGTCAATTTCATCTCAACAAAAGATCAACTTGCAGACATATTCATAAAAGCTTTGCCTAGTCCTAGATTTTCTTTTCTTAGAGACAAGCTACAGGTTACTAGCATACTATGTGCTTGGGGGGGGGGGGGGGGGGGGGGGGGGGGAGTGTTAGGACTAGTATTAGGACTCTATGTATTTGAGTCACATTATGATTCCTTATCCTAGTCTCCATATGATTCCTCTTGTATATAATCCCTCAATCTATACAGTTGTTCTACAGTTCATCCAATATAGTTTTATACAGTTCTCATCTGTTTTATCTATAAAAATTCATTGGCAAATTAAATACCTATGAATTTCATAATTTGCTTACAAATTGTTTTGTTAATAAGTTCAATATTTCTTGTTGTGATAGCTAGGGACTTTAAAGTTAACAAGACAAACATACCTAAGGGATAGGGTTATGTATTTTGTGATATTAGTTTAACATGTGTCTCAACAAATAATAAATTGACATACATACTGACGGTAAATAAGGTTATCAGAATAATTATAGAAAATAATATAATCAAGCTTAATTTTGTTTAAGAGTTTCAGTACAAAATATTGAGTGTGTCCTGCTTAATGAAGAGTCTCTTACTTGTATTAGTGCTTCCAACGTTCTTTTGCTCAAGTAACAATCCCACAGTAATGGGAGTCGAGTCTACATTAAATGTGTTATCTCGTCTTGAATAGGCCGGTGCTGGAGTAAATGTTTCCATTCCGTGACCCTTGGTCTTCTTCAGGTGGTTTCGAGTCGGGTGAATGTCCCATTATATATCTTGTCATATACATACCATCATCAAATAGTAAAGTGAAAGTTATAATTTATTTATTTTTCTCTCCAAATTGATATCTTAAAGCTGATTTTCATTCTACTATTTAAAATGATAATTTTTCAATTTATTATTAGTCGGGCACATATGACCATGATATACTAAGATACCTAATTTTATCTCCGGGACCTAATCAGCGGCATAACAAAAAACCTAGTTTGAGTCTCCATCTGTCTTGTTCATCTTAAATGCAACAAACTTGCATTGTGTGAAATATATATGGCTGTGTGGATTTTCCTTCAAGTGTCAGAAAATTGGAAAGAAAGACAAATCACCGCGCTTTGAACTTGACTAAGTCCCTCTGCATATTCTCATCTCAAACAAGCAAACATCATTGGAATATACAAACATTCCTGTCGTTATTCCTAAGACGACAAAACCAATTTAGCTGGCCAAAAGTCGTACTCTTACTATACATAGCCATATGAGAGCCGGCCTGTGCTCAGTTTAACTTCCCTATAAATACGTTCATAAATCAATACCCAAAGCCACTCACCCACCAGTCCTTGAAATAACCAATCAAGAAAGCTTTCTAGCTTGCTAAGCTATCTGAGTTTGCTAATATATATATATATATATATAGCAGATCGAGATAGATCACATGGCGACCAAGGCTTTCTTGATTGCATTAGCTGTTATAGCAGCAGTTGCAGCTCCAGCTTTGGGTGAAGATTTCATTGTGGGAGATGACAATGGTTGGAAGAATAACAACTTTGATTATGCAGCTTGGGCCCAGAGCAAAGAATTCCATGTTGGAGATAGACTCGGTAAGTCTTCCTTTCTATATCTCATCACTAAAAGTGAGATTAATAACTAAAATTTTACTCCAAATTATCAATTTGATCATCCACTACTATTCTTTCCTAATTAAGTACTTAATTATAAAAATCTTACTCAATTTAATCATCTGTTATTACCCTAAAGTCTTCGTGTATTTTGAGAGTAATGATGTAATTTCACACTCTTTCATACTTAAAGATGGTCCTCTGATTATGTAAAATATTCAAAAATGATCTTCTAGGCATAAATAAGAGAAGTGAAATTATTATTTTGCCATCAAATTTAACAGCTTATAGATTAAATTTTAATAGAGGACTAAGAATCTGTATAAAAACTCGAAAAATGACTTTCGAAAACAAAATAAGTAAGAAGGTAGTTAATGACGAAATTGGTAGGGACTATATTACTTATTACTCTTACTTTTTTACTTTATTTTTATCCTGGACTAACATTTCACGCTTTGAATCATTTAAAAAAAAAACAAAAACAAAAACAAAAAAAAAAACAAAAACAAAAAAAAAAAAAACAAAGTGGGTAATTACCGTTTTGATTGTTTTGCAGTTTTCAAGTACAGTCCAGGATCACACAATGTTTTCAAAGTGGACGGAGCTGGGTTCAAAGACTGCAAGAAGCCAGTGGGCAGCGAGCCGTTTAAGAGCGGAAACGATGTGATAGAGCTGAAGCAAGAAGGAAAGAAATGGTACATCTGCGGTGTTGGGGATCACTGTTCAGCCGGAGGCATGAAGCTTGTCATCAATGTTTTACCAGCTGGTGCAGTAGTGGGTGCTCCTTCTCAGCCCCCCAACTCTCCGCCGACGCCCTCCTCCCCGGCGCCTTCCGCCGCCTCCGATATCGCCGCCTCCAAATTTGCTGCCTGGACTTTTGCGGCGGTCTGCGGCGTGCTCTTCTTCATGTTCCTGGCTTAATCACACACTAACAGCGCAGCTATCTAGCTAGCTAGCTATTCCTTATCTTGCTTGTTTATCTTGCTTGTTGTTTTCATTGGTTGATTTCCTTTGGTTACTATTGTTGTTTGTGATTTGGATTTCCATTGAATGGGTTGTTAGAATGTTACTCCTCCATGGTTAATTTAGGTTAATAATGGAGTTTGAACTCATACTCTTATCCATTTCATTAAGTAAAATTTCCCTTTATACATCATTAGCCCTATGAAGTAGGAATTTATTTCTTGTATTGATTGTGGTTTTATTCTTTTTTTTTTTTTTTTGGTTAATTGATGTGGGAAGAAGAAGAATGAGATTTGGATGGGTCCTGAGATATAGTTTTGGTAGCTTCAAAGCACCAAAATGTGTAGGCTGGAATGGAGTTTTTACCTGAAAGAAGCGGAGGCCATTGCAATAAGTGAAGTCTTAAGCTGGTTAAAATTCTAGAATCTTGATAATGTTTTTGTAGAGATTTAAAGTAGAAATTATCTGAGCTTAATTGTACATGTTTCTACTATTGGTTTGAATCTATTTGTTCGGTTTAAGTTTATGAGAATGTTACTTTAATTGCATATTCCCTTATTTTCTCATTTAGATATGGTTTAAACTTGTTTTGAATGTGATGCGTAGTATATTTGCAAACAAATAATACTCGGAGTACGAGTTATCGATCCACAGGGAAGTGGTTGTATCAAGCACTAGTCATTAGAGCTAATCCTAACAATTGATTGGATGATTGGTTGCATAAAATAATTAAAATAAAGCAGAGATAGATTCGGGGTTTTGAAAATAATAGAGAGAATATGAGATTCTTGGGATTCAAGTATTTAATCACCTAGTGCCAAATCTTAAGGACAATATTAAAATCTGGGTTTAACAAGTGTGAGGATGCAAGGTGGTATAGAACTACTCTCGTAGTCACTAATACTAGTGAATTACCAATCTCGTGGCTTAAACACCCAATAAAACAAGATCAAGCATCATAAATTCCTAACTACTACCATCTCTCGATGCGCAATAATCAAGAATTAAACTCCCAAACAAAATTACCCTTTCTCAAGGTGCAACAGTTAGGTGCAATTGTGTGTGCCCTAAATTATGCCCAACTCTCGTTGTGACACAAAGATAGCAAACGAAACAAGTAATTGTGGCCACTAATTACAAGCATCAAACAATAAAATCACAATTGCAACACAAGCATTAAACCCAAATAATAATATATTAAAGAATCTAAGAGCTCAGGCACATAGGTTCATAAACACTTTTACCCAAGAATCTCTAAAGAATTTAGCCAAGCATGGCTAAATTATACATAGCAAATATTAATAAAAGAAAATACAAATTATCAAAAGAGTACAAGAATGAACCAGACGATTCTCTCGAATCTCTCTAGTCTTCTTCTTGCTTCCCAAGACAACTTGTGACTCTTAATTTCTCCCTTTCTTGTCTCCAAAGATCTCTAAATCCTGAATTATGTTTAGGGTTGAGAAATGTGGGATTTTATAGCTAGAAGCCCATAACCAATCCTTTTATTTTGATTTAGAAAGTTGATATTTGTTTATGGAAAATGCAGTCTTTTGATAAAGTCAGCGCCAATTTGGTTGCTTGGAAAGGAAGAATAAATCACAATATATTAATTTCCTTAAATTTGCTGCTACGCCTTCCTTAATGTGGCGCTGACCCAGCGCCTTTTATTAATTTGGCGCACAGCTTTTCTTTCGACGTGTCGAATCTTGCGAAGCTCAAATCGGAAAGCTACTGTCCAATTTCGACGCGTCGAGTTTTCTGGGCCCCGAACTCGTCTAAAATTGTTTCAAACTCTTCCTTGAATTTTCCTTGCTCATAGAATTGACCTACAATGGTTCAAAAACACTCATAAACACCGTAAATCATTCAAAATAAGTGTGAACCATAACTAAATGACAAAACAAGGGATTATGCAATTAAATTACCAAAACTATGAACTTAAGCCCAACAAATATAATTAAATTAATACTAAAAATGTGCACAATTGGACGCACATCAAATCCCCCACACTTAAGCCTTTGCTTGTCCTCAAGCAAAAACCAATAAATAAATCACAAATCAAAACATACAAATTACTCATACTCTCTCTTGCACAACCTTTCAAACCACCAGCCCACTTGCTACAAGACAACAAGTTTCAAGAATCAAATTAGTTTGGCACATAAGACCAATTCTCAAGCCAATAACCAAGCACCAAAAATTTAAAGTATGTGAGGATCAAGTGTGCACAAGTACTCAGTTGAGATTATGCAAGACACGGCTCATGAATGAGATCCCATAGGCTTGCCCTTCATACTCCCCTAGATCAAATCTAAGAATGCATGCTAAGATCAAATAGGACTTTATTTAGCTTGTAATGGGGCTACGGGTGATGGCTAACAAAGAAGTGGTATGGAAAAATTAATCAAAAAGATAGAATGTCACATTTATCTAAACTTTTCAAAATTTGGAAGATATGAGATAATCATAATTTCAAGGAGAAAATTTCTTTTAAGAACTTAGCAACTCTTTGGTAAAGTGGGGGTCCAAACTCAAAAACTTTCAATATTTTTTTTTCATTCTTTTCTTTTCTTTTCTTTGGATTTCTTTTGGATTCAGCAAGATAATTTTAATCCAAGCATTCATGATCCCCACACTTGAACATTTGTAACATCAGTTGCTTTTAGGCACAACTCCATAAAACCTCTTCTTACAGAAATAATAAAGATAAAAGTTCCATTCTCTCAAGGGTGGAAGGGAAATATTTGGCCAAGGGATAAGGGTTATAATAATGGGGGTAAATCAAAGAAAAACAATCACAATGAGGGGATAAGTGCTTAGCACTTATTTAAAAAAATAAAAGGCACAAGGGGGACACAAAGGATAAAAATATATATAGGGACAGGTTTAAAGGCTATGGCTAAACAAAAATGGCCTAAATCACTTCAAAAATGCAAAATTTAGACATCACTTAGGGAGTAACGAAGCAAGTTCTAGCAAAACACCCATGACCGAAATCTCACATAAGCATTCACTAGCAATGCATAACACACAAGATCAAGAATTAATCCAATTATTAAGTGGTTAACAAAGCTATTGGCAAGGGAATAGATCAATTATGTGTTACACCTCAAATCATCAATCACAAATTGAGATGCAGCAAGCACCACTAAAACAAACCACTAACCTACAAGAGAGAGTAATTGCAAATGCATGCTAAGACAAGTAACTTATTCACCAAAAATAGCATATGAGTCATCCAACCAAAAGCAAAAAATTTTATATTTTTAAAATTATCCCCAAATTAATGACCCCCCCACCCCCCACTTAAAAATTTGCATCGTCCCTGATGCAAAACAAAAGAGAGGAAAACAAGAGAAAAGAAAAAGCAAAAATAAGACGAACTAAAAAGCAATAAAACTAAAATAATACGAAATTAGAAAGAAATAAAACTAAACTAGAAAGCAATAAATATGAAAGCAATAAAAGATAACATGGGGTGCCTCCCATGAAGCGCTATGTTTAACGTCGCAAGCTCGACCTAACCTGGTTATGGAGTGCTCATCCCGGTTGATCCGCGAGTTTGATCTCATCACCCCATAAACTCTTCAAATGCATATACTCATCATGTGTCACCTTGAAAGTAGGGTCAAGGTGCAAAATTGACTTCCAATCAATGACCTTTGACTCATCAAGAACATTAAATTCCACCTTTTCCTCCCCAAAGTCAAAGATCATGGAGCCTTTCCTTGCATCAATTATTGCTCCAGTAGTGGCTAAGAAAGGTCTCCCCAAAATGAGTGGGATGTCTGGATTCATTGGGGCAGCTATCACAATAAAGTCACAATGCACAAAATACTTATCCACACGAACTGGGACATCTTCAAGAATTCCAATAGGCTTTGTGATGGATTGATCCGCCTTTTGCAAAGTGAATTGGATTGGTTTTGGTTCTCCCAACCCCAACTTTTGACAAAGAGTAAGAGGCATAACACTCACATTGGATCCTATATCACAAAGGGATCCCTTTAAAGGTCGGCCTCCAATAACACAAGGGATTGTGAACTTCCCGGGATCTCTATGCTTAGGTATATTCCTCCCAATACCTGGCATCAATGCCCGATACTCTTGTGCCATAACAACCATCTCTCGTTCCCCATATATCTTTTTCTTAGCTAGAATCTCCCTCAAAAAATTTCCATAAGAGGGAACTTGTGAAAGCAAATCAAGTAAGGGAACTGAAACTTTCAAACTCTCAACAATCTCCAAAAACTTTTTCCACCTACTTTCTTTTTCTTTTTCAAATTTTTGAGGAAAAGGCAATGGTTGTGACACCCCGTAATCCAAATTCAATTAAGGGATTAATTAAGTAATTAATCCTAATCCAATTGGTAATTTAATTCCATAATTTCCTGAAAATTCAATAGTCGGGGACTAGTAATTGACTAGTCAATCCAAAGTCAAGTGTTGTACCTAAAGCTTTGTGAATAGTTCCCTTGTTCCCTTACACCTCTTCATGTTAGTAAGGGTAAATTGGACATTTCCTTTATGATTGTATTCCAAGCTAACCTAGAAGATATCTTTCATTTCTATCCTTACACTTTCAAAGCAAAGAGCTCTCCCTTCTCTCTAAAAACCTAGCTAGCTTTCTCTCCAAGCTAAGTTTAGACCTTCCAAGATCATCAAAGTTTGTCTCCAAGATTCCACCTTTCCTACCTTTGAGCATCTAGGAGGGTAAGATCTATATTCCTTTTGTGTTTTTAGTGTTTTATAAGGTATCTTTTTCTAAAGGTGAAATCTTTATGATCTTTTGGTGTGTTCTTGAAGTGGGTGTGGAAGGTGAACCTTGTTAGGAGCTTTGAGAAGTGTTAAGTGAAGGGTTTTGTCTACAAGAGGTAACCCCTACTCTACAAAATCTATTTTTCTTACCTATATGATGATTTATTGAATTCTACATGTGATTTTGCTATGAAATGTGAGTGTTGATGCATTGTCTTGTGAAAATGCATATCTAGAGCTTGTTATTAGGGTTCATGTATGCCATTGCTCGGCTATTCCTTTGATTCAAGTCATTTTTTTTTTGTATTTGGTGAGATTTGGCATGTTTTGGACTTGAATTTGAGCTTGGAGTTGAAAATTTCCGAAGGGATATTTTTGGTACAGAGTTGGTTCCCGCGGGCGGAACGGCGGGCAGTGGCCTACCCGCCGCCCCACCCGCGGGGAACGTTGATGGTG